AGAACATGTTATGTAGATGGACCCAGAGCCTTGCATAGGGTCTCGCTAAGCGTTGGATTCATGGCATCTTGGCATCTGGTTGCTTCGCTTGGAGCTTATACAACTGTGCAATTGCGGTCTCCCTTGACAGGCAGATCAACCAGCATTTGCGGAAAAATGCTCATTATGGAAATAAAAAGGAAAAAAAGTTAAAGCATCTCTCACAGCTTAAATATATTAATCATTTGCAGTATGTTTTACCCCTTCAAGTGATTCTGAATAAGAAAATAGAATACAGAGATGCTGAACAAAAATATTTCAGACTTTTGTCATGATGAAGTAGTCTCTTCATAGGTATGCTAAAAGGGTTGTTGCTGTCCTACAGGAAAACTCTTAATCATTCTGGTTGAAAATGATTTGTTTGTTTCGTATTTATTGTGTTCTCTTATCCAATTTAGAAGTTATTTCTAAGTAGCTAACTTGATGTCACACTGAGAGAATTAGGGCCTTAAAGAATAAACAGCAGGACCAGATGTGTTTTTTCTTAAAAGTAAGGTCCCATTTCATGTCAATGGTTTTGACAAAAAAAGAGAAAGAAAATTCCGTAATACTTGAGCAAATTTGTTTCTGAATCTGGTGTGTGTTTATTGGACTATTCTTTATTGGTAATATTCACCCATTAAGCTGTAGAATAGAAATAAAGAGTCCTGATATAACTTCATAAGAATATGAAGTTCTGATTTTCCAGATCGACTCTGGATCTTGGTAAATCTATCATCTTTAAGCCATTTAATTGGAAAGATGTCCTTGTTTGTGTCTGAGACAGGGAGAAAGAGGTAAGTCTGTAAGATAGAACTAGGCTGCGAGATGCTATAAGCAGCCTTCAGCTGTTTTTTTTCCCCTGCAGCTATTTTTTTTCCCCAAGATGATGGGTTGGTGGAGGAGGGACAAAGCCAAGCAGATCTTCTTTTCCCTTGTGTGGGTCTGCCAGCACAGCAGTAGCTTATGCTGGAGACCAGCCTCAGACTGGCCCCCTTGTGCTGTCGCCCCTCCAAGCAGCTCGGTTATAGCTGCCTACGCAGCTTCTGCAGCAAATGAGTTAGAGTTCAGATGTTGGAACAGATTAGGCTTAGTTCCACAGCGTGCTGTAGGTAGAACAATAAATCTTGGTTTTCTTTGGGCCTTCTAAACCCAAAATTGGCGTGTCAGCCTGTTGACTGCAAATGAAATGGGAATGGGTGTAAAAGTGATGTTATGAATTAAAAGTATTAGAGGTGTTTCAGCCATTGATATTTTTCAGGTTCCCACAAGGAGGAAAAGCGTTAGACTTTCTAAGCTTCATTTAATACCTGCTAAGATAAGGTCATGCAACTGTGTATTTTTGTCCTAGCCTTATCTGTTACTCTTTTTTCACAGTATACAGTTGTTTCTAAAGTGTTGCATAGTCCATGGTGTGTTTTGCATGAGGAAGTGTTTTCCGGTGAAGTTCAAAAAGGAAAATGCACTACTACTGCCTTCTACCTGCTTATTTTTAAGAGTGAAGGCTATCCTTAGGGAAAATTGGATTTTGCAGGTTAAGTTATTTTCTTAAAGGGATTTCTTTGCTGGATATTATATTCACCTTTGGATTTGTTTATTTTAACATTGGTTGGTGTAACGTTTTCCTAAAATGTTGAAGCAATCATTTCCCAGACTGTGTGCAGTAGGAGCACCTAAAATCTTTTGGCAGTAGATTTGTATGCTTGGTGGTGGGAAAGTATGATATATTTTTAAATATGTGATGTTACTGCAGATACAAAAACGGTTACTATATCTTTAATGGAAAGCAAAAGGTTATCTTTCTGTGGCCTTTGTGTGCATGTGCTGATGGGGATGTAGGCAACCAGACAAGCAGTGTGTGCAAAGAGACTAGGGAACTGGCTGAGGATCGATAGAAATGGTGTGAAGTGAATTAATGTGCGGCAAGCAGGCTGTCTGTCAGAAGGGTTGCAGGGAACGGGGGCAGTGCTGGTCAGGCGCTGCAGAAATCTGCTCTCAATGAATTCGGTCCAGAAATTAAGTGTAGACACTTCTGTTGCTCCCCATTATCATTAAATTCCAGTTCATTCAGGTACATGTTTGTATCAAATTATTGTCCATTTTTAAGTGAAAATCTTGAATGCTGTAGCAGCATAACATTAAAGAAATTCAAATATCATTAAACTGCGGTACGTCTTTAACCTGCTTCATATAGTAACCCATGTCATCACTGCAAAACAGTAACTGTGATCAGTCTATAATAGTGAATTTGCTGTCTTTTTTTATTAATATATTTCCGGTAGATGTATGCATCTCTTAGCTTTGTTTAAAGCCTGATTAACTGAGTAAAACTTAATTAAACTTCCATCGATTTAAGCAGGACTTCTCATTGAGTAAGGGTAGTGTGATTGGACCCCAAAGACTTTGTGCTGTTTATACACGTGGTTGATCTTACTCTAGCAAGGTTTGAGTTAAAAGAGCACAAAGAAGCAATTTTGCACTGCAATGTTTTAATGTATTAAATGAATAATTAGTTGAGGATGCTACAGTAAATAGTAAAGGATAATAGTGTTGTAGGTTTCTAATATGTGTATATCTTGCTTAGTTTTCCAATAGATTTAATATGTCAACTGGCTTATTTTTAATACATTCAAGTTTTTATGTCCTTTTCATTTCTAAAATCTGTTTCTTAGATGTTCTTGGTCAGTTATGTAGAAAGCTCTCGCATCCAGGAATATACATTCCATCATCTTGGATTTTTATTGAGAGGAAACAATGTTTTATTGCCTGACTTATTTGCATGCTTGTTATTTTTTCTTCCCTTTGGCTTTATCCATTCAGTGGCTTTCTGAGAACGTTTAATCGTTCTGATTAAATTAGATTTGTACTTATAGTCTTAATTGTGTGCAATTGTAATAGACTTTGCTCAATTTTTTATATACTAGACTTAAAAACAACTCATGCAAGGCCCTTATTTCCTCCCATTGTATCATAACTAGTCTTGATAAACTCTTTCGAAGGGTGTAGTACATCCCGTATGGAAGATCAGCCTCGTTTCAGCTTCTCGGGGATATAAAACAGTGAAAGAATTGATGTTATAACTAAATTAATTGAAGACTGTGAGTTTCTGCATAGCCTGAACTTACCTTTTGGGGACTGCTGGACCCTTGGATTCTGCTGACTTAGTTATAACCAAAGAAAATGTAACATCTGAGATGAAAGCTGTCACTGATAAGAGGCTTCATAATGCAGCTTTAAAAAGGCATGCAAACTTTTTGCTGTTCTCGGAGCATAGAAAGAAATGAAATAATTTTAGACTATGGAAGTGATACTTGGGGAATAGTTATACAAGTCTACTATGTCTGGGGAGATTAGCAGCTTCTTGTACTAGCTGGAATATTAGGTAAATGGAGGGTTTTTTCTGTGACAGAGAGGAAAATTCTGATACTAAAATGTCTTAAAAGTATCCGTATTCTTCTCTTGGAATTTTCTTGTCACTATGTTTATATATATTGGCATAATGAGAAGGAAGTTCATAAAGATATTTTAAAAATACTACCCTCTTTATAGAGGCTACGCCAGAACCTCTACGTAGAAATTGCTGTGTCAGAAAATCACTGTGTTATCACAGGATAAAAGTAATTACTTTGTGGTGAATATTTGCTACTTACCAATAGTACTAAAAAAGTAAAATCTGAGAGTGTTCGTGAGGCTGTTACTGTTCTGGAGCTGGTTTAAAGAAGGCTCGGAACTGAACGGCTTTCAGACTTGGATTCCCAGACTCCCACCCACAGAGAAATTTTCCCTTCGTGATTTATTAATCAAATTTATATGTTTGGAGAGGACTAGTAACTTATTACATGAAAAATACTGAGAGAATGAAGGAATGCATTTTAGCGCTTTCATAAATACGACTTCAAAGTGGAGGAGGAGGAGGAGAAGCAAGTGGAGCAGGCAGTTCTCCATCCTCCTGTAGCAGGCAGTTGCTGGTGCTTTGGAGTCTTCAGACCACAGTCTAGAGCTGTGTGACTGTCAGAAGGCAAAGCCTTTTACCAAGACTTAATTTCGTGTTGAAATTTGGTCGGTGCTGACAAAGGGCTGTGGTCCTTTTTTAATGGGGACTTAACGCCTCTGTAGATTGCAAGCCTAATACCACAATCAGTAAAGCAGCAATCCCTTCATATAATAAGATTTTTGATAGTACAGGCCGACTTAGAGGATATATCAGGAGGAAGGAAATCTTATCAGGGCTTCTCTGCAAACTGCTCTCTTAGCTTTCCTAAATCTCTTTGGTAAGACTGTGTGTGAGGCTGGACTTTTCCGCCCTTAGCAAAACACTTATTTTGATAATGCCTTGATTGGATCGTGGTAAGGCCTGGCTGGGGAATAATTACAGGTTACAGTTAGGCGGAGTGTAAACCAGAGAGCTGTTTGCGTGGTATTGTGTGGCAAGCTTTGGTGTTTGTGGCGTGGTTTCTGATGGCAATTAGCTGGTGCGTCACAACCCAAGGGGAATGGAATGGCTCCGCTGACTTAGTGCGTGCTGGAGGTAACGCGGAAACCCAACCCTTTCTCTTTCTGGGGAGAGAGATGAAATACTAAGAGTAGATGTGATAAAAATTCAGCCGCTACCTATTATGCAGCTTTGTATTTTGTGCCTAAATGAGATGTTAGTGTAGGATGTAGTGGGTACGATCTGGTATTTTCATGGAGCTAGAAGGTGATCTTAAAGGAAGAAAATATGTAAGAGAGATATGTATGGTGTGCAAAAGATTTTTTTTCAATGATAGCTGTTTGAAAGGTCTGCATATAATTTTAAAGGAAATCAGAAAATAGTTACCCTTTGCTTTATCTACATTTCGTAGAGAACTGTACTGCATGGTCCAGAACGTCAGAAGATAGTTTGTTTGTGGGGTTTTTTTCTTTCCTAATCTAAGGACGTTATATACCAAAGTCACTGATTTCTGTGGCTGTTCAGACTTCTTTTTGTTTTTATTGTCCAGCTGGAGTAACAACAGAAGCCATTCAGACTGGTAGTGCAAGCCCAGATTCGTTGGGAGCAGAAGCGAAAGTTCAGGAAGAAGAGCATGATCTGGCTGATGATGACATCACAGCAGGTAAGCGTAAAGATAATCGATATGTTATTTTTGGCGTTAGGTGTAGTGCAGAGGAGACAGAACACTTCATGTTAAATTTCCATATTTTTCATGAGAAAATGAAACTCTAAGGCTGCTTAGGAAGAAGTGCGTACAGTTAGAAGTAAAAAGCAGAAAAAAGGTTAAAGAAAAGAAAATGCAGAGCTCTAGATTAAAACTAAATACTTGCTTTGTTGTAATTACTGCAATGTTATTGTGCTACTTCTGAAACATTATTTATATTTCCTTGTATGTGCTTTCAGCTCTTGAATCTGCCTACAACTGGCATGTTTAGCTTGCAGTTCTTGAATAAAAGCTAATTGTTTCTAGTTATTCCTTAAATTAATTACCTTAGTGAAAAAAAGATATAAATGTTATTGTCACAGTCTGCCCTGATTGATCTGAGATTTTTTTTTTCAACAAGTAACTGCCGTTAGTTTGTTATGCACAGAACTCAAGTACGTTTCCATTCTATAATACCAATCCAGCTTTTTACCATTGTTCGAGTTTATTGTAGATGGGCAGATAAAGTCAAAATTTCTGATCTGTCACTTCAGAATAAGCCTTGATAGACCATACTAAAATATGCATTTAATTAGAAGTACATATCTTTGAATTCTTTTTTTTTCCCCCCCATGCTTGTTTGTCATAAGGGAAATATCTATATCCTCAGTATCGATACCCTCTTAATTTGAACAACTCTGTGTTTTAGTGTAGCATGCTGTAGATCATAGAGTGCAAGAGTTACCTTTTAGATTCAAAGACTTCACTGAGCATTGTATAGATTTTTTTTTTTTTGAGAGTCTAAAGCAAAACTATTTATTTCTATTGACCAGAAGTCTGTTAGCATGACAGGCCTAGCTTTGGGTCAAGTCTCTGGTTGAAGGTGACTGAGACAGGATTCCTGGTTGGTGAGAGAACAGACTGTCTGGAATAGTGAGTACTAACATAAGCAAGGGGATAAAAGGCGAACTTGAAATAGCCAAGAGCCAATATGATTCTGGAAGTGCCTTTAATGACTAGAGGAAGATGCAGAATCTGTCAAGAAACAATAATAAATAGAAGATTGACCCTCGAAAAAAAAAAATTAGTGAATGGGCTCTAGGTAGCCTGAAATACAATTTTTTTTTCCTAGCCTTTCCTTTACATCAGTGTTTCGTACAGAAACGTACACCTTCTCCTTGACTCCACGTCTACTGGAGACTTTGATTCCTTTCCTGGAGTTTTTAGTGAGAGCCAGCGGTATTATGAACAAGTATTATGAACAATTATATCTAGGACAGCATTTTCCCCCTTCAACATCTTATGTTCTTTTCAAGAGGAAGAGATTAAAGATGAGATTCTTTAATGGAGTGAGTTCCAGGTTATTTGCATCTTTTGCTATGTGTAGACTCTTGAGGTTTTCAGAAGGATATTCAATATATTGCTAGAATCTAACAGCAGTAACAATTTTATTTACAGGAAAAGTACCTCTGTTATTAAAAGCAATTGATTTTTTTTTAAAAAGTGTGTCCTGAGTAAAGCTGAATATTTAGTTTACAACTGGATAAAACTAATTTAATTAAATACAAATACATTTGTTCAAAAAGAATAGTCCTATCTGTAAAGAACAGCCAGACAACTAGAATGCCATTTGCCCCCCAAAAGGTTTTAATTGAGATAATTTAAACTTCACCTTGTCATCTTAAAAATATGATACAGCTTCTTTCTATAGCAGTCCTTTTAAACCTAATATTTATTGATTCATTGCACAAAGTAATGCTGGTGTGCAGTGGACAACAGGAATTTTTTCGGTTAAACTTGAGATTCACCAAACGCTTTCATTTATCCAAATAATTTTTTAAAAGGATCACTTTCCCTTCAGTCCTTTTAGCGATTAAGGTGTTTTAGCTTAGCTGGCTGAAAAACACTGAAGCCTAATATTCTACAGTGCCTATTAAGCATTTAAAAACACATAAGCAGGAGTTATTTAGAAAATTGGTTCTGTCTTCAAAACCAGAAAAATATTTTGCTTGTACAACTTCAGCTCATATGTGGACAATAGCGTTCTTTCACTTGTGTGGTCATAAATCTACTGACCTCAGTGGGCAGAATTGTGCAGTTCCTCATGAAAGTAAATTGAATTTTTTCAGAAAGCATTTTATTTGAAATATAATTTTAGGCTCTTAGATATCATCTAATTTTTCTTTTAGCAATACAAATATATTTTTTCCAGGAAATGCTCTGATATGGCATAGTGAATTGCTGCAACAGAAGCGTTGAGAATTTGAGTTGAAATGTACTTTATTCTGAAGGATCTGTAGTTCCAAAAGCCTAAAAGGTAGGGAATCTGACCCGTTTGAAGTACAGAAACAGAACGTATTATTTGTCAAAGAGAATTTAAAAAAGTCTAAATTGGCAAAAAATCCTACTTTCAAGAAGGATAAAATAAATGCATATTGTAGTAAGAAAACTCAGAACTTGGTGTGCTGAGTGGTGGGGGTAGACAGGTGACCAAGGTGGGTCTTGAGGTGTGTAGATATCAGCATATATAGAGTACGGTGAATTTGTGTAGGGCTGGCTTTGTGTGATATTGGTATTTGCTGAATTTGCTGAACTTAACCGAGCAATATGATTCCCTGGGTTAGGGGATACTAGTAAAGTTAGTAAGACTGGCAGATGCCTGTCCAAATAAGTCTATCCAGATAATTCTGTCTTGAGCCTGAAAGTCTTTCGTGTTACACCTGCAGTCCCGTGCTTCTCTCTTGGCTTCTCTAGGAGCATTGAGCGTTGTTGTGCTTCTCTCGGAGCAAAGGGAAGCTTTGAGTTTCTTTTTGTGTGAACGTTGTATACGAGATAGTCCATTTTCTCCAGCGTGATGTCATGACATTTTAGTGCGTGGGACTGGAGAGAGTCAACCTTCTCCTTGTCCCATTCTGATCTCTTGCATAGAGGGAGAAATAGCTGTAAATTTTCAGTAGCCACTGTAAATCCTTCTAGCAAGTTCAGGCAATAATGGTATGCTTTAGAAATGCTTTTTTTTGTTTGCATGGCAAAAAAAAGTCTCAGTCTAGGAACGCTACTGATAAATGTTTATCAACTTGAAATTTTCAAGTTTGAATAGTTAAGTCTTTTCCTTCAGTATTCACAGATGTATTTTTGAGCATAATGAGCAGTATTTTTTTTTTGAAGCAGTAGTTACCCTTTAACTGGCAAAATTAGAAGTGAGAAATAACCCTAGATTATTCCATATTCTAAACTTAAAAATAGCCTTTTAATCAGGAGAAATATGTCTGTATTATCATAATGATTCTGGAATATACAGGCAGGGACTGTGCTTGGGTTTCGTCATGTAATTCACCGCACCGTAGCAGCTGTGGAGGCACAGCGGTGCGTGGGAATGCATTTGCAGTAATTTTGAGTGAATCTTATTTTTCCTATGCAGCCTGGACTTTCTGACGTTGGTATCATCTAACTATTTTAATTCATTTTTAGTATAATTCCTACGTCATATCTGATTTTTCTATGGAGCATTACAATTTCTAGCCCGAAAGCTTCCAGTGTAATGGAAGAAAACATTTCAACGAACTGCTTCCTGAAAGCTTCACAGAGTTATTTTAAGTCCCTTTTTTAAATACATTGAGTTTCTGAGCCACCCTTTGGTTTCTCTCCATTCTTTCTTACTGTTGGAGCTGGCCGTCTTTGAACTGGAGGCAGCAGGTGCAGTAGCGCATTACTTCCCTCCCGTTACCGGCCAGACTTCCCCTGAAAATTTGGTGTGGAGTGGAAGTGCACAACAAATGAAACCATCTGCCATCCCCAACAAACAAGCCAGTGACCCACTGCTTAGCACAATGAGGGTACCAAAAGAGTCAATCTCTGGACAAAATTCCTGC